TTTTTTTTTAATAATTTAATTATAGTTCAACTTAAATTATGTGTTAAGGAATGAATCTCATTTTTTTTCTTCATATTGACATGTCACTGAATTTCCTGGATTCGCAAATTCTTTTACAATAATCAAGTGATGCAGATTTAGTTCAAGTGCAATACTATTAGCTCCTCGGATAAGTTTGTCCTATGTCGTTTGAAGTATTGCACTTCTTTGACATCTCGGGTCCAAAGTGGTTTACATCTGAGACCATTCCACCTTTAAAATTTTGAGTTATACTTGGATAATAAAATGTGATTTTAGCATTTATTAACTAGTATGGTTCTTCACATGTAACCTCGTGGAGTAATATCACGGAGATGCCATTTATGATTATAAAAATTATGAAGTTAGAGCTGTGTGACAGTCTTCATAAGAGTTGTATGCTTGACCACAAATCAAACTTTTATCACAGTGAGAGCTGGTACTGGTGGAGATGAAGCTGGAATTTGGGCTGGTGATCTTGTAGGTACATGTTTGCTTTGTTTTTTGGGACACATAATTATTGTTAATATGATCGTTTGTGTGGAACATCTTTAGACATGCTATTAATTTGTTATACATTTTCATCCTACTATTTTAGGTACGCATGTATCAAAAGTATAGTGAACGTAATTCCTGGAAGTACACACTGGTCTCAACCTCTGAGGTAATCTTGAAGTGTTATTGTACATAACTAGGACATATAATAGTATCCTAGCAGATAGCTTAATAGCATGCTAATTTCAAGGCTGAAAAAGGAGGATATAAGACATGTGTGATGGAGGTACGAGGGCAACGTGTTTATAGCAAACTGAAGTTTGAGTCGGGTGTCCATCGAGTTCAACGTGTTCCCCAAACGGAAACCCAGGGCCGTGTTCACACATCTACGGCAACTGTTGCAATAATGCCGGAGGTAACTTTTTGTTTGATTGGGGCTTTCCGGTCTACCTTGCCATTTCAATAGTGCTTTACACTGATTTCCTAAACCAGTATCAACTACTTTACAGTTATTTAGTTGAAATAATTTTGGCAAGAGCTATTTTGTTTGAAGCCTGCTCAATGCTTGTGAAATCACAGTTATCACATGTTTAATTGACTATACCAAAGCTTCTTTACCAACAACCTTTACTCAGTTTCTACCGGTGATCAACAAATTTTCAGCAACATATGAATGCAGTAGTAACAAATAATATTCATTAATCTGATACCAGGACGATATCCTCACCGTGCTTATTTTTCATTGCCTGTTTCTACTTTGTTTGGCATGTATGCTGAATAATCATCCCATTCTTATGTTGTATATGGTGTCAGGCTGATGAAGTTGATGTAGAAATTAACCCAAAAGATATTGAGCTTACAACAACTAGATCTGGTGGTGCTGGAGGTAAACTTAGTGAACGTCTCTTGGGTGTCCTTTTCTTCCTCCAAGTATTTGGAATAAACTATACATCAAAATTAATTATCAAATTTTTGTCTTCTATCTTTTACCTGTTCAAATGTCATCTCCTTTCATCCTGCCTATATTCCTTTCTGCTCATGCACAGATTCATAATGCAGGGCAAAATGTGAACAAGGTCGAAACGGCTGTTGATCTTTTCCACAAACCAACGGGAATAAGAATCTTTTGCACAGAAGAAAGATCGCAGCTTAAGAACAAGAATCGAGCTCTCCAACTATTGCGAGCAAAACTGTAAGCAACAGTATGAACTGAATTCATATTTTCCTCCTAATAAGGTTGAGATTCATCCTAGATGAACCTGCTTTTAAATTTAGAAATTTTGGTGCATGTGCTGTGCATACACACATCTAGATTGAGCTTGTGACTGATAAATTGATTTTAACCTCTTGACTGGTCACTCTGTCTCAGGTATGAGATAAAAGTTAGAGAGCAACAAGAGCAGCTGAGGAATCAGCGAAAAATGCAGGTTTAAATGTAGCTTCCCGTCCACTTACATTTGGAACTAGAGAAATTTACCATAAATCTTATTAATGATCTATAGTTTTACCTTTGACCTGCCAATCACCTTTGTGATCTTATATCCTTCACTATTTGTTTTCTCAAGTTTTTGTAAAATGAATCACCCCTTTAAATAGACCCTGTATGCAATAAAACCTTTTCACTATTGCCCCAAGTAAATATTTAAACTCCCTACATTATCTATGCAAGTGCCTAACTGTTTGTACCACGTAGTGCTTGTACTTGCTCACAAGGCTATTACCTTTTCATATCCTTATCATGAAATTAGTGCAACGGAAACAAGTATCCTATTATTTCTGTGCTTAAAAAGACTAACTGGAGCACTGAACCAACAACACTTGTGACATGGCAGGTAGGTACTGGGGCTCGTTCGGAGAAGATCAGAACATACAACTATAAGGTATATTGATCTTAGATTTTGCTCTATTGCTCCTCTCAGAGTTTTTAGCTACACTAAAGAGTGGAAACCCCCCGAAAAGCTGTCCAAATTCAGTGGCTAGATTTATTGGGGATATTTTATGAAACTGTGGCACTAAAAGATAAATAACTATATCGCCTTTCCTCGTGAATTCCAGGACAGTAGGGTTACCGACCATCGGCTAAAAATGAATTTTGAGCTAACTTCATTTCTGGATGGGGACATTGAGACAGCAGTTCAGGTACACTGTTATTCTCATAATTGAACTACTTTTTGCTCTAATGATTTGACGGCATGTGTTCTGAGACGAGCAACACTAATGCTTTTTGCATGCAGTCTTGTGCAACTATGGAGCAGAAGGAAATACTCGAGGAGCTTGCTGAATCTGTAAACGCCATGGCTGCTTGATCAAAATATTGCTTATCCGATCTTAATTGCAGATTCGCCTGCCCACCCAAACTGTGAGATATCTCATTGGCCCTTGTTTGCATATAGCTATCGATGTCCTCTCTAGAGCCCTCTTTTGTTCAGGAGAAATATATACATATATATTCAGGAAGTTTTGTATTTGATTAAACCATCCCAAACAATGTTGGTTTTATCTATTTGGTTTTCGACGTGAACTATCAGTACAGTGTGTTTGCTCTGTTAAATTAATTTTATCAAAGATGAAAGTGAGAGTAGTATGTGGTTCACAGTAATGTGGGGGCCATGAGAATCGATTCTCAACTAATTTCGCAAAAGAATTGTTTTCCCATGTTTGGTTCATATAGATAAAAATAAAAATGAATTATTTCGAACCAGCGGTAAAAAATAGGATCATATTAACATTCATGACAAGGGATTATTTATTGAACAAAAGAAATCCGTGAAGTAGAGTTTGAACAATGAAAACCAGTTTAGGGAAGTTAGATACTTTTGTTCGGATCAAACTTATTCAAGTACGTGTATGTGTGTTTCATTGTAAAAAACGTTTTGTATGATTAAGATTAAATTCTATAGAACATGTTATTATTGTAACGGCAAACATACCCTTCTATATGGGAAATGCTACGGCTCGTAAATGGACCATTCGGTCGGAATTTGTAACTATTAGATAAACTATTTCTGAAAATTACATCTCGATAGAATGATTTCGTAAAAGATCGTAACATTTCCTATAAATATGATACATCGGACGCGAGCCTAGAACCTTGTATCTCATCCAAAACAGATTTTTGCTCATAAACATAAAAAAAAAAAAGAATTAATTTCTGATATATCCACAGACCGCTTAATTTGGAACTTCCCAGCTACCTATCCTTCACTCTTCTGGGACACAAAGACCGACTGTCTCATGTCCCTGCCACGTGTCGACACGATGCTCATCGTCATCACCAAATCTATATATTCTTTTTTATTTTTCGAACCCCCGAAGGTTCATTTATTCGTAATATAATATAATATGCTCAGAAGACTGCTCCTTTCGGCCTCCTCATCAAGCCACCTCCTATCTAGCCGCAAGCCCTCTTACAAATCGGCCATAAATTTCAAGAATTCAAGGCCC